AACAGTAAGAAAAATTCCACATTCCACAAACTGTTGTGATGTTGAACACAGCTTTCAAGGACAGTGCTATGGGGAAAACTCAAGTATACAAGTGGTTTTCTTGTTTCGAAAAAAGGTGAACTATCGATTGATGACAAACCACATTCTGGACGTCCCATCAACTTCCCAAACAAAAGTGCTGACTCCTAGTGCATTTGGAGTTCATTCTACAGGGCCAGACTGCTAATCAAGCTTTCTATTTAGAAGTTCTGAAAAGGTTACATAGCAGTATGTGACAAAAAAGGCCTGATTCCTGGCAGACAGGGTGGTTTTGCCACCACAAAAATGTACCTGCTCATGCAGCCATCTCAGTGCTCCACTGTTGGCAAAAAACTGCATGCCAGTCACCTGACTCACCTGACCTCGCTCCATGCGACTTTCTTTTGTTTCCACGGATGAAGAGGGACATGAAAGGACAGCGATTTGACAAGTAGAAGTGGTGAAGAAAAAATGAGGGAGGTGCTGTCAGCCATCCAAACAGAAGAGTTTGAAAAATGTTTCCCAGATGGAATTGCAGATTTGACAAATGTATTAAGTGTAAAGGAGCGTACTTTGAAGGTGGTACGAGAGTTTTGTAAAAAAAAAATTAAATACGTACATGGCTTGGAAAAATGTTTTCCGTTATATTTGGGGTACCCCTAGTACATAAGATGAAGCTTCACCAACCTAACTTCCCAGGAGTATTCTAGATGTATGATTCTCAAGACTTATTTATTCTATTGCCTGTCCAAGGCATATTCAGTATTTTCCATCAATACCATAATTCAAAGGCATCAATTCTGCTTTTAAAATTTCTTATGAATTACTTGGGAGTTTACCTATTAATTATGAATTGCTATGTTTACTATGAATTAGATTTGAGACAATTTAATATTCATCAATTTAAACAACTTCTCAAACCTCCCAGTAGCTTACCCACTTACTACCCCCATCACCCACACACACCTTTTTATCTTGTCTCTCTTTTATAAAATATGATCTTCCCTTTCCTCTATAACAACTGTCGACCCTTTAGCCTAGGGGTTAGCAAGTATGGCTCAGGGGCCATATGCACCTCTTTTGTTGTACACATGTGGCTCTGGAGTAAAGTGGAAAATGAAAAGAAAACTATTATTTAGATATTAGTGATTTGATTGTGAAAATGGATAATGGCTCTTGAATGATCTTTAAATTATTGTGAGGGACACGATTGGCTCTTTGGTCTTAAAAGTTTACCCCTTTTCTAGCCTCTTGCTTCCTGGTAGCCATCCAATTGTTTCTTTTTGCTTGAAAAACCTTTCTCTTCTTTTTTTCCCTTTTATAACAGTGGCTTCATACAATATTTATCCTTTGGTGGCTGACTAATTGCATTCATCATAATGCCCTTCAGAGCCTCGCGGTTCATGAGGTGGCTCATAATCTCATCCTTCTTTTACTATGTGTAGTAAGTTTATCTATCCTAGTGATGTGCATTTAGATTGTTTCTGTCTTGCTACTGTGAATGGAGCTGCCTTGAACATGGTTTGCATAGATCTGTGTGTGCTATTGCTCTTACTTCTTTAGGATATGAAGGGGATTGCTGGGTCACACCACATTTCTATTCCCAGTTGTTTGAGGAAACACTATCACTTTCCACAGTGTTTGTACACTTACAGTCCCACCAACAATGAGTGGTCCAGTCTCCCTACCCCTTCTCCAGCAGTTATGCTTTTTTGTGAATTTTCCTATCAGGGCCAGTGCGAGGTGGTAGCTCACCACTGTTTGGATTTGCATCTCTCCAAGGACTAGTGCACGTGAGCATTTCTTCAGATGTTTACTGGATGCCTGGATGTCTTCTTGGGTGAAATGTCTGTTCCTGTCTTCTGAAAGGCATTGGTTCTTCTCCACTCTCCTTTGTTAATTTCCAGCTTGTGAATGTAGATGAAGATTCATTGACTTGCGTAACGCATGTCTCAGTCCTCGAGGCGCGTGTTTACTTTTTACCTCTGTACGGAAAGAAATCCTGCAGCAGATTTGCCCAGTGCAGCATGCTAGTTGATTTCTTGACTTCTGCTTCCAGGGCCTTGATTGTGGATTCAAGAAAACTGATATCCTTGACAACATCGATCACTACTCCATTTAGCATCTTGTTGCTTATTCGTCCAATTATGAGGGGTTTTTGGTTGTGTTTTAGTTTTGTGTTTGGGGTCTTGAGTTGTAATCCACACTGAAGGCTGTAGTCTTTGACCTTCATCAGTTAGGGCTTTGGGTCCTTTTGTTGTTATTGCATATTACAGATTGTTAGTGAGTCTGCTAGTCCCGATGCTGCCTTCTTCTTTATAGCCCTGTTGTTGGCAAAGAAAACATGTTAGGCCCATGCAGATTATCATGGAAAATCCTCCTGCTAAGTTTTTCCCCCCAGATATGGTTCGCAGTGAAAGAGCTGTCATTAGTAACAGTCGGTGTAGAAGTTTCGTGAAAGTTATGTATCAGGGGATACCAGTGGCATTCCACTTGGACATCCTTTAGTTTACACATTTGTAGATGAATTTCTGAGGATAGGCATAAACATGTACCCACACATTCACATGCTTCAAAATAACTTTAAGGCTAAGTTAATTGACTCTTAATGCCTGTTAAACATTACACAAATCAATTTGAGTTGATTTAGACTCATAACAATCCTATAAGACATTTGAGAATTGACCCTGTGGATTTCTAAGACTGTACCACGTTGCTGGAGTAGAAAGCCTCATTTTTCTCCTGAGGAGTGGCTCTTAGTTTTAAACTGCTGGCTTTGCAGTCACCAGCCCAATACGCAATCCACTAAGCCATCAGAGCTCCTAAAAGTGAACACATAATTATATAAGGAATCTAGAAGCAAAGCCAATAGCATCCATCATTGTCTCTCATGCCTCCCTCCCAATCATCAATCCCATCCCTGCCAGACCTATCAAAGTAATTTCTAACATCATAGATTAGTTAGCTTGTTTTTGCCTTTATATAGTAGAATCATACTCTTCACAGTCCTTTGAGTTATGCTTATTTTGCCTAATAATGTTGTGAGATTTGTCTGGGCAGGAGTTAGTTCATTCTCACTGCTTGCTTTGTAATACTCCATTTTAGGAGCATGCCCTACTTTTTCCTTTTACAGCTGTTGATGGGCATTTGGGTGGTTTTCAGAATAAGGACATGATGACTAGTGGTAGACATTGTTTTATATGTCATTTGTTGCGTGTGCATATTATTTTTGTTGGACATAATCAAATTGCTAGGTCATAGGTTATGTATATTTTTACTGTTGATAGATACTACTGATTGACCACAGGAGTTGTAGCAAGTTATACTCCTACTGGATGTTCATGAGATTTTTTTATTTTCTCCATATCCCTCCAAATCTTTGGTATTAATGGCCTTTCTCAGTTTAACTCTCAGGGTACCCTCCCCCCCAACACACACACACACACACACACACACACACACACAAAATGGATTTTTTTTCTTCAAAGCTTTGTATTAATTTTTTTTGCAAAACAAACACCACTTTCAAAATACTCTCCCTTACCCTTAATATACATTTGTCAAATCTGAGATTCCATTCTTGGAAACAATTTTTTCCCTTCACCTCTTACACGTTGTCAAATTGCTGTCCTTTCATGTCCCTATTCCCTGACGGACACAAAAAGAAGTTGCACGGAGCGAAGTCAGGTGATTCAGGGTGCGTGGGGCAAGAGAGGCTTGCTGGGGTTTTTGTTGCCAAAAGCTGGTGCACTGAGAGGGCTGCATGAGCAGGTGCATTGTCATGGTGGCAAAACCAGTCCCTCATCTGCCACAAATCAGGCCTTTTATGTCACACACTGTTACACAATCTTTACAGAATCTCTAAATAGAAATCTTGATTAGCAGTCTGACCTGGTGAAATGAACTCCAAATACACTATCCCCCTCACATTTAAAAACATTTTTAAATGAGCATCAGGTTTTGGGGGTACCCCTCATTGGTGTATCATTGTGGTTATAATTTGTGTTTCCTTCTAGGTAAGTTAAGCCCATTTTCATATTTTTAAGGCATTTGGATATCTTTTCAGAAGTTTAAGACTTGCTTATATTTTTAGCAGTTTTATTGGCAGATATCTACATATCATACAATTCAATAATTCAGTCATATCAAGAATTGTGCCACAATAAATTTTAGAACATTTTCTGACTTGCTTATTTTCTTTCTGAGCTGTTTTGTTCTCATTATACATTGTCAAGTCAATTCTGATTTGGTATCCTTATAGGATAGAGTAGAACTGCCCCATAGGCTTTCCAATGCTGTAAATCTTCATGGAGGCAAGCCTGCTACATCTGTCTTCTTTCAGGTACCTGGTGGATTCAAACCATGAACCTTTTGGTTAGCAGCTAAGCACCTAAACACTATACCACCAGGATTCCTTCATCGATACTTATGGATTCTTTAAACATTTGGGGTGCACATTCTTTGTCAGATAAGATACAGTCACTACAACTGCCTATTCCAACTCTGTAAATTTTTGTTTCTCTAGTGATGGTTTTTGTATTAACTGACTTGATTTCTAATTTTTGATGAATGCTCTATCTGCTTAAATATTTCCTTCATTTTACTTCCATTTTAATAAAATATTCATCATGTTTATTTTATTGCCCTTGTTTTTTAGCTCCAATGCCTGGGTCACTTATTTATTCCTCCTGTTGCTGGTTTTTAGTCATTTGACTAAATATGTTGGCTTAGTTGATAATTTCCGAAAAGCTTTTGATGCTCTGAATACAGTTGTCATTTCCTATAGACAGGGTTCATCCTTGGTTGATAAAATGAGGTCTGATTACCTAATCTATGGATTGCACTTGGAAGCCTGACTCCTCTGCCTTGCTTAGGTGCCATTAAGTTAACAGATGAAACATAGCCAAGGCCTGGGCCATTTTCACAGCCATTGCTGCGTGTGGACCCATTTGTAGCCACTATGTGACTCCATCCCCTTGAAGGTCTTCCTCTTTCTCGTGGACCATCTAGGCGTTCTTTGTCACACACTTGTCCCTCCTGATAATTGTCCAAGGTAGGTGAGACAACATCTTGTCTTTCTCACTTTACTTCTTCCAATATAGATATGTTCATTCTTCTGGAAGCCCAGAATATTCATTATTCTTCACTCGTGCCCCCTTTTGCCTTGCTGCATCCTAAATCTAAATCCTTACCTTCCAAATGCAGAAATTCCACTCAACTGGTCAGAGGTTTTATTGGGGTTTTTTTTTCCCCTTAGTTTCTGACTCCAAAATAACATTATGTTTGAAATACTGTAGACACAAGAAAAGTATAGATAAACCAAGCAAAAAACTACTGAGATTTGGTAGGGATTTAACAGTAGTATAATGAATATCCAACAAGAATTGCTTCCGTTTTTCTTAAAATTTAGTGACAAAGTCTTTGATGAGTCTATCATGTAATTTATGGCACTCGTAAGTATACATACATACATATATATCTCCATATATGAACACACAAACTCGGTAAATTGTTAAGCTCAATTGAATGGAGTAATCAAATATTCTTAATAAAATTTTGATCCAAATATTGGATTTTAATAGGACTGAAACTAATGGCTAATGTTAGAATCTATCATGGATAGAATTGACTGAAAAATTACTGAATTGAATCTGTTAAAAATTTTAAGAAAAGGTTGATTACATAGAGTGAAAATGAATAAGAAATGTGTGCTCTGTTAATGAAGAACTAAATGTTTCAGGTATTGTTCTTTTACTAGAACCCGCTAGACAATCAGACATAAAAAAGGAAAATAATTGTGCTCAGACATTGTTCAATATCTGATCCCTTCTCTTATGATCAAATGAGAAGCACCTGGCATTTACCCTGGAATACTACCTGGAGTTATTTCCCATGTTTGCAAGCATGGAGGGAGAACTCAAACAGAGCCTAATGGTCTTTTTTAGTTGAAGTCTAACTTTGAGGAATCTGAATTTGTTAAGGGGGACTTGCAGAGTTAACCTGTTATTTTATAGTGGAAATATAATGTAGTTTAGAAGAACCACAGAAGAATTAAATAGTTTATCATGACCAAACTTAACTGGAAGTTCTTCATAGCTGTGACCCTAAGTGACCCCCCCTCTCTCTAGTCTGCCTCACAGAGAATCCTGTGATTGTGTACAGGTATGAATTCTCAAGGATATTAGCAAGGTCAAAGACCCAATTCTTATCTGTTTAGGAGTCTTCCCCAGGTTTACTCCCCTGCTTCCCTAGTCCCCCGCCCCTCCCCAATTAAGAGCCAGTCCCAGCCTACCCAGTCTGTATGCTGAAGATTTAGAGTAAGTAGAAATGTGAAGCTCTGTAATATACAATCCTTGTTAAAACAACACTTTGTTTTCCTAGTTTGTGCTTGTCATTCCAAGATTTGTGTCTGGAAAAAAAAAACTGTTTAACTTAGCATTTGTTTCTGCTGTGAGAGCAAAGAAAGTGGGCTTGGGCCTACTCACTCAAGGAAAGTCCCCAGGTGTACGCCTTTTCCATGCGTTCGAAAATAGAATTTAGAATCTTTTGAATCCACCTGGTTCGTGTGATCTGGCAACAGTGACTGGACACTACAGGCCCTTTGTGCCCACCCAACACCAAACCAACTAGAACTGGGGGAACAAAACAGTGAAGAGGAAAAATTGTACAGCCACAGCTCTATAGCTCTAGAGAGGGGGCCTCTTGATTCAAATACCACTCTGCATTTTGAGTACAAATCTGCATTTGGGATGAAATTACTTGACCCTGGAGAAAGAACTACTAGAAAGAAGCGGCCGGTGAATCCTGGGGGTGAGACAGGGATGGGACCATTGGCATACCCACTGACCAGAGACTACAGAGGCACAGGCTGACCCTTCGGAAGGCAACTGTCTTAGTGGGAGTACATTAGTCTTATACTAAAGCCTTCAACGGACCTATTTCAAAACAACAACCACAAAAAGAGAAAGAAAAGCAAAGCTCAGTGAAATAAACTAAGTAATTTAATTGCATGCCAGAATCAAGTCCAATACTGAAATGATATTTATTACCCAACACGTAAAATTTACATCTGACAGTCAAACTACGCTTACCAGGCATGTATAGTGTCAAACAATAAGCCCCATAACAAGAAGAAAAATGAAGCAATAGAGCTACTGACTTAGAAATAATGGATTTGATGAACTTCACCGGCATTATAACAAATCCTATCAGTATACTCAGATTTAACAATGTAGACAGGTCCTGATCATAATTTGAAGAGAAATGAAAAAGAGTATTAATTTTAAAAGAAAGAATCCATGAAATAACAATCTAAACTGTTCAAAAATGAATATGGTTGTTAAAAATTAACAGGGCAGAGTTGTGGGGAGTAGATGAGCCAGTCAGGGTGCAGGGTAGCAACGATGAAGCATTTAACTTTCCTCTAGTTCTTAAATGCTTCCTCCTCCTATTCCCTCATGATCCCAATTCTACCTTACAAGTCTGGCTGGACCGACCGTGGTACAGATAGCAACTGGAAACACAGGGAATCCAGTATAGATGACTCCTTCAGGACCAGTGGGGAGAGGGGCGATGCCTGGAGGGTGAAGGGAATGAGGGGTGGAAAGGGGGAACCGATTACAAGAATCTACATATAGCCTCCTCCCTGGGGGAGGGACAGCAGAGAAGAGGGCGGGGGGAGACATCGGACAGTGTAACATGACAAAATAATAATTAAGAATTATGAAGGGTTCATGAGGGAGACGGGAGTGGGGAGGGAGGGGGAAAATGAGCAGCCAAAATTAAGGGCTCAAGTAGAAGGCAAATATTTTGAGAATGATGATGGCAACCAATATACATATGTGCTTGACACAATGGATGTAAGTATGGATTGTGATAAGAATTGTACGAGTTCCCAATAAAATGATTTAAAAAAATTTTTTTAACAGGGCACTTTAGATCCTTGTGGAAACTACCAAGCAGTCTAGTGATACATTTGCTGGGCACCTCCTGGAGCAGAACAGAATAATATTTGGAGCTAAAATACTATACCATCTAACCAGCCATCACTATGTTTCAGCCCACTATTGCAACCACTTTGTCAATCCATCTCCTATGGGATTGCCTCGTGTTCACTAAATTCACCATTAATGATGTCATCTGTAAAGACTGGTTCCTGCTGATAATTTGCTCTGACTGACAGAGTCTCGCCTTCCCACTTCTAAGGAAGATTCTGGCTATATTTCTTCTAAGACAGATTGTTCTGGTATTTCATAGTATATTCACTATTCACCAACACCATAATTCAAAGACATCAATTCTTTGATCTTCCTTATTCCACCTCCCCGCCCCCAGCTTTCACATGCATAGAAGGCTATTGAAAATACCATGACTTGGGTCAGGCACTCAGCCCTGGTGGCATAGTGGCATAGTGGGTTAGGCATAGGGTTAGCAGTTCAACTCCATCAGCTACTCTGAGGAAGAAAGATGAGACTATTCCTGTAGATAGTTACGGTCTTGGAAACCCATGGGGGAAATTCCACCCTGTCCTGTCTTCTCTCGAGTCTCATTGAGGAGGAAGCAACTCAAATGCAGTGAGTTTGGTGTTTCGGTCAGATCAGGTGCACCTTCATCTTCAACGTGCTATCTTTGCTTTCTTTAACACCCTAGAAAAGAAGTTTTACAGCAGATTTGCCCAATGTAATATACTAACTCAAAGTGGATCATAGACTCAAATGAAAAGGATAAAAATAGAAGATATCTACCAAGAAATCATAGAATTAAACTTTTTAAAGATTCATCTCAGTTTTAATGGACAATAAAATTTGTCTTAAGATTTTCTTTGCTAACATTCTAATTAAAATGCTTGTAAAAATCATAAAAGTGGAGTGAGGGTCAAAATAACAGAAGAAATCTGGCCTAGGATACTCCATAACTATAATCAGCCTCATTTATAATCATCCTCACTTTAGTTGAGCAACCTTGGTGGTGCTGAGATAAACATTGAATTGCTAACCACAGGTCTGCAGTTCAAACACACCAGCCACTCCACGGGAGAAAGAAAAGTGTGTCTGGACCCATAAAGATTTATAGTCTAGGAGTCAAAATAAAGTAGGTAGTAGTAGTGGGTTATTGCCACTCTGGTGATAGAATGTACATTAATGGCCAGAGTTATTTTAAAATAGCTTTATTTTTTTTAATTAGACTTGTAACCTATAAGAATACAAGGTTTTTTGGTTTGGATTTAAAATCTGTTTGCTGGCAGGTTAATTTTAATTCATAAGGACCCGGTAGAACACAGTAGAACTGCTCCATCAAGTTTCCAAGGCTGTAATAGTTACGGGGGCGGCTTGTCGCAGCTTTCTCCCAAGGAGCAGGGGGTAGGTTTGACTGCGGATCTTTTGCCTTACTGCGGAGCACTTAACCACTGGGCCACCAAAGCTGCTTCAGAATGTCTTTATGGATCATACTGGTTTTGTGTTTTTTTCCATCTGTATGTTGTTTTAAGAAAATATAAGCAAGCTCTAAATCCAAATAATACATATTTGGATTTGTTGTGAATGGATCCCTAATAGTTTTTTTAAAGAATATTTTATTGTATCTTTCATGATGATTTACACAATTTAGGTTGCCATTCACTTTCTACCCATTGTTCAGTGACATTACTTATATTCAGACTGGACTTTTGAAAATGTTTTATTGTGAATTAGATGGGGTTTTATATATCATAGCATCATTTTGGGACCCTACAACTTTAACAGCTTATCAACCTTCCTAATAGCTTGCCCTGCACCCCCTCCCCACCTCCTATTTCCCCTTTTGTTGGATGTTATCTTCCCTTTCATCAAGTTGACAGCTGTCTACCCTCTACCTTGCTGCTTGTCCTTCCCTCCTTTCCCTTCTCACCACTGCTAACCATCAACATCTATTCCATTTAGTGTGCTGACCTGTACCTTGTTGTCTTTAGAACAGTAGTTTTATATGATATTTGCTCTTTGGTGTTTTACTAACTTCTCTCAGCAAAACGTCCTCCAAATCCATCCACGTCATGAGGTGCTTCACAATTTCATCATCATTGTTGAGTGTGTACACTAAAGTTTATTTATCCATCTACCACTGATGGGCATGTTGCCTGTTTCCAACTTCTTGCTGTTGTGACTAGTGTTACAATGAATATAGATAAATGTGTATCTGCTTACGGGCTGGGTTTTTTTTTTTTATCGTTTTATTGGGGGCTCATACAACTCTTATCACAATCCATACATGCATCAATTGTGTAAAGCACATTTGTACATTCGTTACCCTCATCATTCTCAAAACATTTGCTTTCCACATAAGCTCCTTGCCTTAGCTCCTCATTTCCCACTCCCTCATGAGCCCTTGATAATTTATAAATTGTTATTTTGGCATATCTTACACTGTCCGGCGTCTCCCTTCACCCACTTTTCTGTTGTCCGTCCCCCAGGGAGAAGGTCACATGTAGATCCTTATAATCGGTTCCCCCTCTTTACCCCACCTCTCTTCACTCTCCCGGTATTGCCATTCTCACCACTGGTCCTGAAGGGATCATCTGCCCTGGAGTCCCTGTGTTTCTAGGTTCCTATCTATACCAATGTACATCCTTTGGTCTAGCCAGATTTGTAAGGTAGAATTGGGATCATGATACTGGGTGGGGAGAAAGCTTTTAAGAACTGGAGGAAAATTGTGTGTTTCATCACTGCTACCCTGTACCCTGACTGGCTCGTCTCCTCCCCAAGACCCTTCCTTAGGGGGATGTTCAGTTGCCTACAGATGGGCTTTGGATCCCCACTCCGCACTCCCCCTCATTCACAATGATATGATTTTTGGTTCTTTATGCCTGATACCTCATCCTTTTGACACCTCGTGATCACACAGGCTGGTGTGCTTCTTCCATGTGGGCTTTGATGCTTCTGAGATAGATGGCCACTTGTTTACCTTCAAGCCTTTGAGACGCCAGATGCTATATCTTTTGATAGCCGGGCACCATCAGCTTTCTTCACCACATTTGCTTATGCACCCATTTGCCTTCAGCAAGTGTATCGCAGAGGTGAGCACACAATGATGATTTTTTGTTCTTTGATCCCTGATAACTGATCCCTTCGGCACCTCGTAATCACACAGGCTAGTGTGCTTCTTCCATGTGGGCTTTGTTGCTTCTCAGCTAGATGGCTGCTTGTTTACCTTCAAGCCTTTAAGACCCCTTTAAAACAAAGAATAAAATACACCTATTTGCTACTTCTAAAACAAACCAAAAGACAAAGACACACTATAATTTAAAGTATTTAAAAGAAAAATAATATGCCAGGAATGTTCCAACCAAAAACAAGTAAATAAATGATGGCATAGCAATAGCAATATCAAACTACAATCTAGGGAAAATAAAAATCAAACAGAAACAAGAATCCCCACCAAAACTCTTTTTCACACACTTCTCACTATGGATTCCTAATAAGTTTTAGCAGTCTGTTATTACTGTATTCACAATTAGGTATATAAAAATTACACCCACTCCCTAATTAACTACATGGATAGGTTCCAGATACCAAATTACTATGTAAAAATTAGCATTATTCCAAACTTTAGTGAATAAACGCCACTCGGTCCAGTATTTTCAGAATCTGTGCTCTTTTCCCTGCAGCCACCATCTCCAGCCCTCTCAGGCCCTGAATCCCTGTACTTCTGACTAGCTGTCAGCCTGTGTTATTGCAAACCACAAACTGAGCAGATGTGGTCAGGATTTCCAGCCAGGGGGAAACCTACCTTATACCTCCCCACCAGAATTTCTTGCTCTCCATCAAAAGCCCCATTCAATTGGAATGGGGTCCCACTGACCCCAGTGTCCTTGGGGTGCAAAGGGCAGTTCTCCAGGTCTTTGGTGAAGTGACCACTGCACATCCAGTTTGTACCCCAATGCTGCGTTCCTGCAGATCCTTGGCTTATACTGCAGCTCCACTCAGATGGCCTATTGCTCCAACTGTGAATCGGTGAGGCTTAGGAGCGTGTGGTGCATGCTAATGGCCCAAGGCCCCAGCTTCTGGCTCTTAGCTCCCTTCCCTTAGCTTTATCGTATCCAATACTGGAGAGAGGGGAGGGATCAGGGCCTTGGGGCTGTGGAGGGAGGTCTTTTGTCACTCAGAACACAAGACCTGACATGGCTTTGAGGTGATTTAAGTAGATTTTCTTACTATTTTCTGAAATGTGGGATGATCCATTAGTGAGGAATAGGTATCAGTTGGTCACACAGAAGGCTGCTTGGGTATTTTTTTTTTTAACTTTCATCTCCCCCAACAGCTATGTCTATTAAGTTAGGTGTAAAATGTTAGAAGAATTCTAACCCTTGATTGCATGTTAAGACCTGTTAATGCATGTTTTATTTTATTTTCTATCATTTTAGTAACGATGATGTTATGTTGATTTCTGTGGAAAGTCCTAATTTGACAACTTCAATTACAACAAATCAAACAGGTATCTTACATTGATTATAATATGGCCTATCAAATTAAAAAGCCTCTAATCAGTGTTGAAAATAGAAAGTTGAATAATTTTTAATAAGAAATTTAATTCTTTTTAGAGTGTTCTGATTGGTATTTTATTAATATAGCCTGAATTAACAATTCTTTAATATAATTAAATATTCTTTTTATTCTTTGATCATTTTATGCTTCTTTGTTTCTTTATCTGTTTAATGGCTTTGCAAGTTATAAAATTAGTGACTTCTTATACTGTATATATTATTTAAAATGTTTTTACCAGGCCTTCTGTTGATGGCAGTTATGATTTTTAGTTTGTCTTTTTGTTTTATGTATTAAGTTATCTTAGATTTTTAAAAAGGAACCCTGGTGGTGTTATCGGGAAAGCATTACACTGCTAACCTCAAGGTTAACCATTCAAACCCACCAGTTCTTTTGGGAGAAAGTTGAGGCTGTCTGTTACAGTACAGTTTTCCATCCTCTGAAACCCTGCATACGGGGTTGCTATGGGTCACAGTCTGCTGGACAGCAGTGGGTTTTAAGCACAAGATTTAAAATTTTGACTGTTCTTCAGAATCTGTGATTACTTTTCACATTTGTTTTATAATACTTTTTGTTTCTTTTGACACTTTCTGTCTTTTTACACCTGACATAAAAAACTTTAATCTTGTTTTTATTGGTATAAGGCTTCAAAAATTTGTGGAAAAATTGAATTAACAGGTAATGGAATTTTCCCAGGAACATTTGAAGCCCTCTCCTACTTATGTTTTCTCTTAAAATAACCGTCTGTGGACTCCTCATGTCTCATCCAGAGTTCCCTATTTTGTTTTTCAGCACGTTAGAATATTTGCATCGTAGTTCAGAAAGTACTGCCTCTACTTGTGTAGGCACTGAGCCCCCCGGTTTAGAGTGAAGCCGGGAAATCAGAGTGTCCCTGGGCGTAGTCAGCATGCACCTGAGGCTTCCTGCTGGCTGCAGGAAAAGTGCTCCTCATCCAGTTCCGAGAACGTGGGCTAAGATTAATTTTTAAATGTATACATTTTCCATTTTTGTCAAATGTTAATTTTTGTATACTGTATATACTCATGTATAAGCCGAGTGTTTTAGCACATTTTTAATGCAGTTTTTGTGGTGAAATTAGGTGCCTTAGCTGATATTTGGGTCAGCTTATACTCGAGCATGTACGGTACATATTCACAAAAGAGTGAATATGATTGTAAGATTACAGAAAGGAAAAACAACTTTGGAAAACCATAAAGCCAAATTAGATTTTCATAATTAACAGTTATTTAATATTTCTGTTCTTACTGTGTTTAGCAGTCATATACTCATGTTACAAGTGTAAATATTTAGTAGTTTAACAAACTTGTTCAGTGTGTTCATACTCTTAATCGTTTTTTTTTCAGACATTATAATAAAGTCCAAAAATTCCAACTCACCTGATGCTGACCCGGATGATGTGGTGGGTGATCTTGGTTCTGAATGTTGTTTGTCTGAGTTTGTTACTTCTAAGACTTTAGTATTGCTACATGCTAGATGATTTAGCATTTTGTTTTTTAAAATATTTTCTGCTGTTGAGGTTCAACCTATTTTAATAATTTTTCAGGTTATAGAGAAGAGAACATTTGATTCTGTGGTTGATTTGACAAATGAAGGCTGGCCCAACTGCAACACAGGTAAAAATACTTTTAAGAAGAAAGGGTAATAACCCAGACTATATGAAGCCTGTTTAATGAAATTTATTTTTGTGTGTTGTTGGTGTATGTAATTTTATCACATAGCAGATCAGTATAACTACCACCACCATCACAATCAGCTTATAGAACAGTTTCATCTCAATGAAGTCCCAAATACAACCCTTTTATAGCCACGGCTCCCTCCACTCCCTAACCCCTAGCAATCTGTTCCTCATTACTATACTTATGTTATTTTAAGAATGTTATAAGAATGGGATTATACTATATACATCCTTCTGAGATCATCTTTTTCTCAGCATGATTCCTTTCAGGATCATCCAATTTGTTTCCTGGTTTTGTTTTTTAATTGTTGTATAGTATTTCTTGGTATGAAAGTACCACAGATTTTTTTTAACCATTATCCTGTTGAAAGCCATTCTTTGAATATTATTAATTTCTAATTTCTTCTGTTTGTGTTGTACACCACTTTCTACCCTTACTGCAGTGTAGCAGCTGTGAGAGAATGTTCATAGGAATAAGAGCTAGGGACTTACTTGAAAATGGACAGCGAGAGCAGTGGCAGTCCCATCTTGCTCTGATTTAAGCAAAAGAAAATGAAATGTAGACGACGTGTGGGGCTCAGAGTCAGTGATAAAGTCTCTTCTACTCTGAACCACTTCACTTGTATGTTTATGGTATGCTTTTGACTATGCATTTGAGTTTATTAATTTCAAGAAATATATGCAGACTATTAAGCTTGGGAATTAGAATATTTGGATATGTCATTGATACTTCAGTTCCTTCTCCTTTTAAACTATGTAGCCAACGAGAGATTAGAGCCATTAGAACTTCCAGATATTTCATCGTGACAAAACAAGCAAATAACCTAAATTCCTAGTTTCATGATTGCCATGGATTACATTGTGTTTCCCCCAAAATATGTGATGTGTTGTAAATCCTAACCGTATATGTTTATTAGACAGGATAGGGTAGGGTGTGTCTTGAGTCATAATTTGTCAAGCAGGTGTGACTCAAGTTATATACACCTACTCAATTCACACCTTTGCTTGAGCTGTACCTTTTATTGAACAAGAGATAAGAGTATAAAGAAGTGACCAGAGGACAGGGGCTCACTCCCACCAAGAAGGAGGAGTAGCACCTGTCATTTGGACCTGGAACCTCTGTACTGAGAACCTCCTACGCTCATAGGACCCAAGGAGAGCTACAAGGCACACTGAGCCTACGGCTTGAAAGATGACAGTTTCCTCCCCAAGAACTAGCGCCTGGAATTTGGACTTGTAGGCTTCTAAATTGTGAGAAAATAAATTTCTGGCTTTTTAAAAATCATCTACTTGTGGGATTCTGTTACAGTAGCGTGTAGCAACTAGGGGTTGGGTGGTTAAGGGTGTGGTGCTGCTTTAACAGATGCCTCAAATATAGAAGCAGCTTTGGAATTGGGTGAGAGGTAGCGGATAGAAGAGTTTTAAGGTGCCCGGATTGCTTTGCAGGGATGGGGGGATGAATTATGGACGTCAAAGGCAGTTTTGGTGAGTGTTCAGAAGGTGAGGGACACTGTAGACAAAATCTTTATCCTTTGAAGAAATGCATATTGATGCCAGCAAATGTGTGGCAGAAGGTAGAACTTGTAAGTGATGCACTGATAAGATGTCAAAGCAAGATCTTAAAGGGTCCATGCCAGAGGAAAGAGTTGGACTTGAAAATGAATTATGCAACATAAAACAGAATCAAAGATTTGTAAAACTCTGTTGAACTAAGTAAGGACACACCCTAGAATTGCATAGTTACATTTTAAAAAGAGAACACTTGTTATAATCCAGTTGGTGCTGACTCATTGTAAATCTATCACAGGGTAGAACTACCCCTGTGAGTTTCCAAGACTATAACTCATACTGGCAGTAGAAAGTCCCATCTTTCTCTGGAGGAGCATTTGGTGGTTTCAAACTGCTGACCTTGCAGTTGGCAGCCCAATGCATAATTACTACACCTGTCGATCTAACCCATGACCACAGCAGCTTAGACTGAAGGGGCTGGGGGGAAAGGGGATAGAGCAAAACTGAAAACGGTCTGCCTCTTAGAATTCCACAGGTAAGAAACAATCCAAAGGATTCACATGTTTTCTTCCAAGAACAGTAAACAACCGTTCCTAGAGCCACTCAAAGATGAGCAGAACTGTTGTTGGAAGGGTTGCAGAAAGCTAAGGGACCTTAAAACTTTAAAGGGTGGGGCTGCAGTCACCTAGATTTCAAAGGGTGTTCTACACACCCTCTGAGGTTTCAAATAATTGGATCTTTGCCAACTTGATTCTGGAGTGTGAGGCTGCCATTAAGGTGTGTTGGGGGATGGAGCCACCACCCAAAGCTTAGTGGGCAGGACTGCCCTGCCTAAGGGGCTGAAGAATAAAGCCTGCAGTGGCCAAGGTGGTGGTGTTGCCATCCAGATAGACTAGGAAAAGAGGACTACTCAAAGCCAAGGAAGCAAAGTTCCCATCCCCGTGGACAAAAAAGACAAAGCTGAAGCCCAGGACGAGGGTGCCTCCACCCAGAATCCAAAGGATATAGCCAACACCCAGAGTTACTGAGGCAGGAAAGTCAGTGCCTGTCAGTTGTTAAGAAGACAGCCTGTTAAGCTTGCCTGCAATGACCCCTTGGAGTCACTTGAGTGGAAGTGGGAGAGGGGCAGCAATGAAAAATGGGTTGTGTTGGCTTAAGTTGTAGGACCATTGTACAGATGGTCTCAGAGAAAAGAGGATTGTTTTCAAGCCTTGAGAGTGAGTGCAAATGATTCTGCTGGCTTTTGAACTTGGTTGGTACCCGTTATCCCTTCTTTTTCTCATTTCTACCTGTGCTGTTTTACCATTGTAATTTGGAAAGAGGTAACTTGTAGTCTAGATTTCACAGATTCACAGGAAAAGAGGAATTTTGCCACAGGATGGACTGAGTCTAAAATCTCACTCATATTTTATTTAGATTGGAATGATTCGATCAGGTGAATGTGTTTTACATTTTGCAAAGATAGGAATTTGGGGGACCAAGGTGGAATATCATGAATTAGAGTGTAGCCCCCAAAATCTGAGTCATGAATAAGTTGGTTAAGCCATGATTCCCAGAATTAGGTAGTTGTCCTCCACTTTGTGATCTAATTATCTTATATTTTTGATGTGTCACAAACTGTAGCTTCTGACTATTAATGGGGCATGATCAGAGTAGGCTGTGTCTTGAGTCACAGCCTGGCAAGAGTGAGCGACTCAGTCCCACCTTTTACTGAACTGACATTTTGCTTCAGTCACACCTTTCATCTTACACGAGATCAAGGGAAAGAGAAACACAGAGGAGAGGGTCCTCCCTAATGGTAAGAAAGAGAAGCTAGGCATTCATCCCTTGGCCTGCAGGTCCCTCTACCAAAAACCTCCCTGACTTGGGAAGTTCGGTGCCCAGACACTTGGAGAACTGTAAGGAACACTAGGCCTGCAGAGGTTGAAAAGAGACTAAGACTGTCTCCGAGCGTCAGCCCCTGAATTTGGACCTCTTAAACTGTGAGAAAATAAATCTCGGTTTGTCCAAGACATCCATCCATGTTATAGTAGCAATAGATAACTATGACATTGATGAAAGTTAGAAATAAAAAGTTGAAAATGGAATGGGATCCCATTTTGAACAAATCCGTTACTTTTGTATATTTACCTCTTAACATTGGCTTCTTCCATTTAAAATCTAGCAGTGGGAAAGATAGATCTTGCTCATTCAAAATAGTGTATTTCATAGAATGTTCCTTTTGGAGTAAGGGTGAACTTAGAGTAAACCTGTCCATTGTCTACATTAGCAGATTTACGTATTTCCTCAAAAACGTCTATTGAAGTTCTCTAAGTTCTGGTACTTATGAATGCGGCTTTATTTGGAATTAGAATCTGTGTAAATGTAATTAGCTAACATGAGGTCAAGCTGGAATTAAACGGCCCCTAATCCAATATGACTTATGGTTTTATCAGAACAGACAGAGAGAGACATCCAAGAAAGAATGACTATGATAAGGAAAGCAGGTATTGGAGTGGCACATTGAAAATCAAGGAATGTCAAGTATTGTAGGGAGTCACCAGAAGCTGAAAGAAAGGCACCAAACAAATTATCTCTCCGTGCCTCCCAGAGGAGACCAGTCTTACTAATGTCTCCATTATAGGAGCCTGAAGCACTACGAGAGAGGATAGGTCCATTGCTTTAAGTCACCCAGTCGCATAGTCCTAGGATGCTAATTCAGATTTTGGTACAGATTTGATACCAATTTGGTACAGATTCTTTTATAGCAGCGCAAATAAATGTCATTGATTTTAGTGCATACATATATCTGGAATACAATGTTGCTAGAAATGTGGACATGAGAGAGCTTTCTAGGGAGCATGGGAATGAGGAAAGCAGTTCTCATGTATTTTGGACAATGGACAAAAGGGATCCTTGTTATAAGGTATCAAAGTATCTGCAAAAGTACGTTTTACTCTGTGGAAAAGGGAACTTGTAAGTGGAACTTGGGGAAATCCCATACAATGTGTCCAAGGTGCAGCATGTTCTCTCCTCACTGCTTAGAGTAATGTGAGAGGAAGGGAGAGCTGAGGAAGTTTCAAGCAAAAAGGAACCAGAACTTTGGGAAATGTTCAGCCTATCTATACTGTAAAAAATGAGAAAGCAGGTTGTAGAGAGAACTCCATAGATATGTCTTGGCAGACCTTTTGTGGAGAAATAGGTATGTAATACAATGATGCAATCAAACATTTCACCAGCCTGTGTGACCACGAGGTGTAGAAGGGACCAGGTATCAGACATCAAAGAACAAAAAAATCACTAGGTGTCCACCTTCCCGATATGATCACTGAAGACAAATGTGTGCATAAGCAAATGGGGTGAATAAAGCTGATGGTGCCCGGCTATCAAAAGATACAGTATCTGGTGTCTTAAAGGTAACTTGAAGGTAACTTGAAGGTAAACAAGCAG